TGCTTGTTGGGGAGGAAAATAAGGACAAAATACGAAACAATGCTCCTCAAACCACCCGCAAACGATTGTTGTATGGCATCAATGGAAGTTCAAAAGTTACAACCAAAACGGGGATTCAATATTGGTGATAAAGTGTATGCAAAAGACTTCAGAACACATCGTCAAACATGGACTTCAGGAACTATAACAGGAAAACGAGGACAAGTTGTGTACGAACTGCAAGTAGAAACAGAAAAGTGGATCAGACACGCAAATCAACTACGAAGAAAGTACACTCCAGATGAGCGCGAAGATATCATCCCTGATGATCAGATATGCCAGTGGTTAGACGATGTTCCATCAGACACCGCACGACCACAAAACACACATCCACATAGGTTGGATTTGGTTACACAACGAAATGGTCATCTGCCGGTATCTAGATATCCTTATCGTACTAGACGTCTCACACAGCCACTCCAGGTTAACCCACGAATGAAATCATACGAGTCATGTCATGATTATCGCTCTTATCATGTGGTTTAGTACGGACGCCTGCATTCGTACATACACGGATCCGAACATCCGACGGTCTTTGTTCTTCCTCTCGCTCTGGGTGATCCGGGAACATAACACATAGATCCCGTTAGGTTCCCTGGATGGGGATCCCGAGATTATGGTAACCGGTGGTTAGAGACACTGAGTGATATGGGGGACTGTCGCAAACAGTGGCGCTCGTGCATCGACTCAATAATCGTGCAACCCCAGTTTGTATGAGTTCTCTATTTTCACCTTGACCTTGATCTCAACAATCCAATCTTTATTCTACTCTTTCATCCAAAATGAGCGACCAAAAGACAGCAATCAAAACCGGTGCACGAAAGTGCATGGTTAATGGTTGTACAAGCTGAAACTGAAAACTGTTCAATATTGATATGTTCATCAAATCAGCTGTGGCACATAAAAATCGAAGATGAATGCTCGTATGAACTGAAATGATTTAAGTTTGATCAATGGTAATTATTTACGACATCGACCTGACACTTTTCAGTGCGATGCTGTCGGTTTTTGGTCTTGCAAGACAGAAATTATGGTGCTATTGTACTAATGATGAGCTCTAACGCGAGCGAATATCGACCTCGGTGTTTCCTGAGTGTATGGTTAACTGGGAGGAACTGAGAGTACTGTGTGTGAAAATGTAACCTGACAAATGATCAGTCCATATTGATAAAAATGCAAACATGGAAAAATTTCCTGAGATCGGCCGGCGAAATGTAAGAAGAGAGTTCAATTTGTGAAATTTGCAAGATGTTTCCTGTCTTTTTTCTATCATGTGACTCTCAAATAATGGATAGAATGGCCTACCGTAGTGTTGAACAATACCACGGTAAGTCACATCCGATCCCAAAGTTTGACCCAATTACGATTCGTGGTAGCCCGATTTGAGGCTGGTGAACAGCCTCCCGAATCATCTTTCGAACCGTAGCATCAGGTTCCGCGGGGGTTATTTGTAGAGAAAATTGAAACAATCGGCTTAAGTCTCAAAATGAATAGAAACCAGCAATGGAAGCATAGCATGATCAGTGGCGAGGCCCGCGAACGAATAGCCCAATGCACGAGATGGGGAACGATTTCAAACTGAAAACTGTCGCAAAACAGGACAGCAAGTTAAGCTCGAAATGAAGATCCGTAAAGTGCAACGATTCCAATAGATACGTTACGGA